GATGCCTGTCATACTTTTTGCATAGAAAAATGAGCTGCTCCATAATGGTATCTTGAAATCAAATTGTAATTTTAAAAATACCTGACATGATTTTTGTTAATCAATGAAATTTAAAAAACACAAACTTTGTTAAACATTATTTTTCAAATGTTTTCCTCTTACAATTCGAAATCATGTATGTCAAATCTTATTTGGTCCCCAGGATACCTAGTTGTATGGATTTCTGACCATACAGACTTGGGCTTGATTCGTCAAACAAAAGGGTGTTTAATTTTCATCATACCTGTGTGCTTGGAAGCAGCTCTACCAGCAAGGTCTTTCAGCTTGGATGGGGATGCAGGCAGAATGGCTGCTCTCTGCCATAGGAGAGCAAGTTTAAACTCTGTCTGGGGCTCCATAGAAATGCTACCAGTGCAGACTGCTGAGGGCCATGGGTAGAATCAGGTGGTCTCTGGAGACTTTTCTCTGGGAGAAAGAAAATTTTCTGTTTCATTTTCTCCATTCGAGCCCTGTAGATTCCCCCATTTCACCTTGATATAGATCTCCCCATCCAGATCTTTCATTGTGACCGTCTAGCCTCAGACCCATTCAAAGTACGCAAGTACTACTACTTAATTAGCCAGGAAGACCACACCAGAGTGATTCATTTCTTCTGACGGCTGAGGCTATCCTCTCTACAGAAATCCCAGTTTCTGTTGTAATTCCAGGAATTCAGTCCAATAATGGCTTGTGTGTTCACTAGTGTTAGAATGCCTGGTGGCTAAACAGGGAATATATTGTCAGTGTTACTGTAAAAACTGTTTATCTGAGGGAACAAAGTAAAAAGACAGCAATTAAAAGCCGAGACAGCATGATGAAGCTAGCACTATAGTAGAAAATGGAATAAGAACTATAAGAATAGCGCAGTTAGAGTCTGAAAAGTGACTTTGTAAAAATGGCAGCTTCTTACTCAACAAGGCTGTTCGCTATACATATCCCAACTTATGTCTGTTGACAGCAATGACACAAATTTGTTTTTACTCTAGGTATCCCTGCAGAGTTAACAATGGAAAGGAAAAATGAGTTGGCTTCTATTCCTTTTTGCGCATTGTCCGCAGGATTGTTCACTAAGGTCCAGTCAGTTATGCCTGTGCAAAACTGTGGGCAGTAGTAGTTTTGCACAGTTGTCACAGAAGACACAGTTTGAGGACATTGGGTTACCCAGGTGGATCTGGGAGCCTAATTTGTCTGAAGAACTTTTATTATTGATGATGAGGCAGGAGAAGAAAAAAATTCATCTTGATTCTCAGATTCCAGGTTTCGTTTACAGGGCTAGTAGTGTTTTGTTTGTTTTTATTTACTCATAAACTGAACAGTTTGATCGGGAAGTAATTGAGACGTGGTAAACATGGAACCACTTGATACTATTTGAACAAGTCATTTTTTTGGAGTAGATCAGCACTTAGCTGAATCCCACATCCACCAAATTCTACTACATCATTATGTAGCAATAGTTAATTTCTAGAGCTTGTTGTAGCTGATCAAACATTGTTAGGGTTTTTTTCCACCCAGGCAAAGAGATAGTAATCGCATACAGGAATTTGGGGATCTTGCATTGTTAGAGCGGAAATTTGATTTGGCAAATTACAGATGTATGAAGACTGTATTTTATTGCATGTTATGTGTTGTGGTCACTGATTTTAGACAAATTGTTTGGCACAGATTCCAACTCAGTCAGCCAGCTGAACAAATAGCAGTTTGATTAACTGCCAAAAAAGGGTCTACGATTGCTTAAAATTGAAGTTGCCCATGGATGAATGCAGTAATCCTGGCCTGTGGCTTTCAATCCTCTTCAGCATTTTGACTGCAGTTCAACAGACCAGGGACCAAAGAACTAGTTTCTGAGACTTTAGTTTAGAGTTTTAATTCTGTGTGTTTGTGTGTGAGAGTGAGAGAGTCAGTCCATAGGTAGATTTTTTGTTGTTGTATATTAGTTTAGTTTTCATTTTTATTGGTGTGTAAGGAAAAGATTTTTTTTTGTTTAAATCCAAGCATTGAAGTTTTAAATTATCTTCCTACTGATAATCATTCTTCCAGTTGAATGACATCACAGAAATAGCAAATAACCATATTAAAAAAAAAATTGCCTCGCCCCCAAACAAACAAACATAAATTATGTGGATTGAGCTGTCTCGCAAATCTGTCATTTTTATTAATTTTCCCCACCTCTCTGTTATACTAGCAGTTGAAGCACCAAGGCTGACTATACTTGATTTAGAAGCATGGTTAGAAATGGCAGTGTTTTTGATGAAAGGGGAGAGAAGCAGGATGCTAACTATGTAGGATATTGTTTTACATCCTGACTAAACAAATTGAAGTGTTAGGAAAATCTGGAACCTTCTCAACTACTCAAGATTTCAGAGGCAGCTTGCACCTTGTGCAGTTTCTTCATTTAAGGCCTGATCCAAAGCCCATTGAAGTCCATGGAAAGACTCCCAATGACTTTACTGGATGACACAAAGGCCCCTTGGCAAAGGGTCCCCTCTTCTTTGCAAACAACTCTCATCTCAGACCTGACAAACTTGCGTCATCAAACACACTGCTTACAGGGTATTTGTCCATAAAGGGTAACGTGTAAGGTCTCTATTGAAAGCTTGTCACTTATTAATGTTCATAATCTATGTGTGATGTGTGTTCAGGTAATGTTTAAGGATTAGTGTAACTATATTGACATTTATGCCCTTATGGCCATAAGGTTAAAAGACATCACCAGGGAGTAATATCAGGTGATGATAGCTTACTTATGCATCAGGGAATTGCCATCCCTCCCTGGTTAGCTGGTGAGGTAATGAAAAGTACAATTGTCTACCATTGCCTCATCACAGAACAGTGAATGGAAAGATATCAAAGACAACTGCAAGCAACTGAAACCACATGGAGGTTTAAAAAAAAAAGGGGGGGAACATTATAGCAGACAAAGGGAAGAGACACTCTGGATCCATTCATTGAGGAGACATCTTGTTGAGTGGGGGTGTTTTTAATGAAAGGTTAGATCCTGGTTCCTGTGAAGCCAACAGGCCTTGCAACAGACTGAACTTTGGGTGGGAACCTACTTTGTTCGATAGGAAAGGTAGCTATAAATAAGTGCAGGTTCTGCTTCAAGTTTTATGGTTTTGTTTTGTAACCATTTGATTCCATCACTGTCTCTTGTTTCCAGTGGAATCTCTGTTCTTTCTTAAATAAACCTTCTTTTGTTTCATTACAAGTGCTGTGTGTTATATAGGAGTGGTGATTTAAAGTGAAACTGGTAAACGGGTACTTTTTTGGTAGCTTATATGTTCTTCTAGGTAAACTAATTGTATAACTAATTGTGGTACCATGATTCAGGAGAATACTGTACACACACAGAGCTGAATATTCAGTGTAGAGAATTCAGCTAAGATATATGTGTGTGTGTGTGTGTGTGTGTGTGTGTGTGTGTGACATTTTAAATAATAAAACTGTATTGCTCTTCTTTTCTTTCTTAGATAGCATACACATTTCTAGGAACATAGGGCTGAATTTTATGACCCTCATTCATGTGAGTGCTCTCATCAAGTCCAAAAAGACTACTTGCATGAATAAGGACTGCACATTAAAACCCACAGAGGGCTAAATTTTCAGTGAATACATTTTAAAAGTGTAGCAATGTGCACTCATGCCCGTGCAATTAAATAGAAATATTTTTTAAAATTAACATGGGTAAACAAGTGCAATGAGAGGGAAGACCTGTGAGCCTAGTTATGTGCCTACCAAAGCATGTGAGCTCAACTAAACTTGTAAAATATCAGGGTGAACTTTTTGTATAAATAATTCCACATTGACTTACATCAGCTTGTCTGTTGGCAGTCAATTCCTTTTGTGCACTCCTTTGCCCTCTGTGAACAGCTTTTCAGCCGGCATTCCTTTCATTCAAACAAGAGCCTGGGTAACTGAAAAGTAAGTTGTCACCTGGTGAAAATCTATTTTTATTGATGCCAACACCAAAATGTTAATTAACTTAAAAGAGTAAGATTTTCCCCTCCCAATCCTTCTTTACTACTTCACAGACACCATGCATTCTATTAAGTGCCTGATCCTGTACATTGCTGAGAGCATCTTATAGGTTTTGAACACCGTGAACGCCTACTGGAGTCAGCTAAGAACTGAGTGTGCTGAGTTGCCCTATAGCAGTTGCTTGGCATCTTGCAGGACAAGACCTTAAGAGCATTAAACCTCCTCCTTTCTTCTCTTTGTTTAAAAAAAATATATATTAAAAAGAAATTGATGTACCTGAACCACTATATTGCTGGTCTGTCCCTCGAGTTTCAATATATTACAGCTGGGGAATGCTGGATTGTCACATGACAGAGAGAGTGGGACAGCTCTGATGAGGATGTACAATGTGGCACCTCTAAAATGAAAAACATAATGGTGTTTTCAGTTGTAACATGCTGCTTGTTCCCATTAGCCTAGATATTGAAATTAACACCAAGTGAAGTCTTGTAATTTAATACTTTGCCTTTGCAGATTACCTTTAACAAGACGCCATACATTTACTATATTTATATATCTGTCTGTTCTCTTTGCATAAATGGATATAAATACCAGCAGTGAAGTGAAAGGCCATTTATCATTGACCGTTTAATCTGAGTTCTCAAACTCCCTATTTTAATCCCCATCAGTTTGGACAAGAAACCACCACAAACAAGCATTCTATTTTGTGCAAGATCCAAGATTAATGGTCTTTTGGTTTAATGGGATACTCAAAACAAAACACCAACCAAACCAGCAGATTATAAAGAAAAGGGGTTATTTACCCAAAGAACGGTAGATTATTAAATGTGAAATAATGTTAAGGCCTCTCTTTCTTGTTGCTAGTCATTTCCTGGCTACTATCACCTGACATCTATCTGGGTTACATGCTGTGCAGAATCCACTGATGTTAGTGGCTAATATTAATTACCATTTTACAGAAAAGGGTTTTCTTTTTGCTGTTCTAGATGAGAATTCTCCTGCCAATTTCTGGGATTCCAAGAACCGGGGAGTGACGGGCACGCAAAAAGGACAAATCGTATGGCGAATTGAACCTGGCCCCTATTTTATGGAACGTAAGTACCTATGTGTGTAATACAGGGTGGGCATGGACATGGAAACAAGCAGTCCCTAGGGGTTATTAGTTGCTATGACTTTTTGTCAAAGTCTACTAAACAAAGCAGCTTATGGTTAGTGATATTTCCATGTCTGACAGCATTTTGAAATCACCTCTGTTAGCTGTTTTTACACAGAGCCATGCATTGGAAGGGAAAACTGAACAGACCCTAGAGTTTCCCTGAGTGTGTTTAGTGTATTGCCACATGTGGGGCTGCTTTGTAGTGCCCCTGCAGCACCAGGCATGGCACTGTAGGCGTGCCCTGCCTTAGTCTAGAAGTTGTGTCCTCTAGGGATGTAAAATATTAAACGGTTAACCGGTAAGCATTAGTCTTACCAGATAACCGACCCTAACCATTAACCTTCATCCCCGGAGTCGGCCAGCATTAGCAGCCAGTCAGTCTGTCCCAGTCCCATTCCGTTTAATTGGTTAACCGATTAAATGACATTTTAATCCTTTAAATGGTTAATTTTTTAAACGGATATTTACATCCCTAGTGGCCACTGGAGCAGGGTGGCCCTTGCCATCAACTCGGCATTATTATCTAAAAACAGTCAAATAGAATAAGAAATGCAGAGTTTGGCTGTCTGTGCTTTTAAAAAAAACAAACCTCAAAGGCAAGCACTTAGTCCTACCTAAGGCCCTGACCTGGTCCTGGGACTCGGGGCTGCACTAGAGAGCTCCTCCCCTGTTCCAGTCTCATCCAGTTCTGCCTCTGAGACTGAGAAGAAGCAGTCAAGCCTCCTTAACTGTCCTGCTGGCTCCAGATTAGTCACTGTCTCCTCCTGTCCCTTCTAGATCTGTGGAAATTAAGTCTTGTTGGTAGCCTGGCCTGAGCAGGGGCATGTCATGGCAGCAGCTCCTCCAGCTGGGGGCAGAGAAGAACTGATAGACCCCCTCACAGTTATGTATAGAGGAAGTAAGGGTATGTATCCCTGGGCCATTGAAGCACCCTTTGGGTGCGTTCTAAGACATGCAGCTGAAGAAAGATGTGCATTTTTACTCCAGGAATGTTCTTCCACTCTGAGACCTAGTTTATAGTAGGAAAAAAGATACTTCTATATGTAGCACCATACATATGCTTGGCCCTTTAGATGATAGTTGTAAGAAAATGGGGTCCCTGCCCCCAAGGAGTTAATAATCTGTCTGCAATCATTATTCTCTTTGCTGGTGTCCAACTAAGTAAATCAGCAAGAGTTCATGAGAGGAGCTAAAGGCCCAGGGGTATGAAGAGAGGGTGTGGCTGGTAGGGTGTTTTGACCCCAGATCTTTAAAACTTTTTCCCTGTTCCCTCTCTGTAATAGCTAGAGTGTGATAGCCTGGTGCAAAACTCACCTTTTACACCTTCCTGTCAGGAAACAAGTGTTGGATAGAGCTGGGTAGTGGTTGCGTGGGGAGGATGATTGATTCTTGTATCTATATTATTGCTAGAGGATTTGATTTGATTTGATTGGACGTAATTGACAAATCTGGTTGTTAATGTGCTTTTAAACGATTTTCAAGGGTGTCCTGAGCAGTGGATGATGGGAGCTTTTATTGTAGAGTAGTAAAACTCCAAATGTGTAAATAATGCAATATATGCATGTTTTGTTTGTAATAAATACATATAATTTTGGGGATCTTTAAAAAAAAAATTGACAAAAGTAAAAGGTTAGAGCTGCTTTAAAATTTTCTGTTATTTTTTTAAATGAAACTTTTTCTGGAAATTTTCTATTTCAATCATTCATTTTCTGTTTTTGTTTTATTTTATTTTATTTTATTAAAAAACTGAATATTTGCAGGAGGAATTTTAGGGAGAAAAATCAAAACTTTTTTCCACCATGACTAACCGCTGTACATATCCTTCAAGAAGTGTTATGTACCTTTTAGTGTGTGTGTATATATACACTTTATTAAGTGTATTAAAATACACTTGATTTTTAGAACAGCCATCTATCCCATCAAGGGTCTGTGCATTTCATAACATAGTTCTGAAAGTACAATAGAACATTATAGAAACATAATAAAAAGTCCTAATAGAATAAAAATGAAATTAATTCAGAGAATCCATTACCATAAAAGAAGTGTGTGGGTTGGAGAAGAAGTATAGGCTAGGAAGCTAATAAACACTGGGGGCAAGAGAAACATCAAATTGTTTCGGCAATATTTTAGATGTGGACGGGTGTCTGGGGAACACGCTTAGGCCCATCACAGAAAATGTACAGTTGCCTGCTGACCTGAGGTGCAATGTTTGGATCCGTAAATGGCTGGTTTTGTGCAGATACAACGTACCGTCAAGATCAGAGTCAAAGTGGATATTTAAAATATACTTGGGTTCCCGGGGTAGGGTTTTAAAAACCAGCAATGTTAGCTTAAAATCAGCCAGCAACTTCACAGGCAGCTAACATAAAGAATGCAAGCCAGGTGTAATGTGATCACTGTTGTTTTTGGCATTTAACAATTATGCCACTGTATTATGAACAAGGGAAAGTCAATTTAATATTGTGTTCATGAGCACAGGGTATTCCTATTGCAATGTGTCCCGGGATGAATATGCCACTAGTAGTATGCGTTTCCGTTGAGGGCATGACCACAAGTGACACCCATCTATTAACCTAACTTCCTACAATAGGGAGTCAGCATGAATGATGTGTCATGTAGGTGACAGCTCTCCTTCTGCAAGACTTGTGTTCTTCCAGGGTTGAAGTTAAGGTGGTAGATGGATGCATTAGACCTAATATTTTCCAAACACTCCTCCAGAGCAGTGGCCATCAAGCTAAAGCTATATAGTTGTTTCATCAGTGTGCGAGTGATACTCTACCCTGTGTTTAGAAATGGACTCACCAGGAGACTCCATGTAACTGAAAATACGGGTCATAGTATAGATCCTTGGGGTTTGCCATATTTAAATCTTAGTGATGACACATATTTGTCCATCAGCAACATATTACTGCTCTTTTCTTGGAATGACTGGAACAACTAAAAGACTCTCTTCTAAATAAATGCTCTAACTAGTAATCAAAACAAAGACCAAAACTAATCATAATTGTGCACACACCGACATGCTCCAAAAATATCCACAGCCAGTACGGATGGGAGTGAGCAGGGGATGAAAAGGAAGGGTGAAATGAAGCACCTGCCGAGTACAATGTCCTGCTCACCTCACAAATAGCTGGTGCCCTTAGGCTGTCCTCTCCAGACAAAGGGGCTGACTTTATGCTGCAGTGCCAGCCATAACAGAGGCAGGTGTTCCTTTCTTCCGGTCCCTAGGCAAAGGGCAAAAGTGTGATGTTAGCATGAAATGTAACACTCTGTAGCTGTAGAAATTCAACAAAGCAAAATTGAGCTGTGATATCACTGAGATAGCAGCCTGAGATTTAAAAACAGAAATATTTCATTACTCATGTCATGTAATACAAGTTAATGGGAGCTGCCTGTTTTGGGGAGAGGGAGGTATGGTGGGGGGCTAAAAGCTGTGATTCACTAGTCATCTCAGTTAAGCTGCTGTATGCATTCAAGGATTGTTTAAATACAGAATAGTGACATAAACTCCATGAAGGGATTATCTCTTTGCTGTCAGTGAAATAAAAAGACCAGTTCAGTGAGTGCTCCTCTGAGTTGGTGGCAATATCGTGCAGGTACAGTTCAGTGTAGTGTAGTCAGACCATTCTGAGATGCTTTGGAATGTTACTGAAGGTTCTGAGTGTCCATTCTGGGAAACATGACATTAGGTTGTTCTGGGTTCTGCTCAAACCAGTTCCTTCAGTCCCCAGCCCAGCAGAGGCTGGCATTGTTGCAGATGGGACAGAACTTGGCCAAGGGCTTCTGCTCCTGCACCAGGGGGCTGATTTATAATGGCAGTCTGCTCTGCATCAATGATGTGACTCAGGAAAAGCAGAGATCTTGTGACCAGTGTGAAATGGGCCTGATGATGCCCTACTGGAAGGCAGGAATGTTCAGTGGAAGCGATATGACGGGAAATGGCATAAAAAATGCACCCCTAACCTCCCTTTGTGAAGGCATGGGATTAGAGACCCAGTTCCTACATTGCTGCAGTTCCTAAATCCTGTTTCCTTCCCATAGAAGGATAGGGTTAGTTTATGGAGTAATGGGGCAGGGAGTTCATAGAATATCAGGGTTGGAAGGGACCTCAGGAGGTCATCTAGTCCAACCCCCTGCTCAAAGCAGGACCAATTCCCAACTAAATCATCCCAGTCAGGGCTTTGTCAAGCCTGATCTTAAAAACCTCTAAGGAAGGAGATTCCACCACCTCCCTAGGTAACCCATTCCAGTGCTTCACCACCCTCCTAGTGGAAAAAGTTTTTCCTAATATCCAACCTAAACCTCCCCCACTACAACTTGAGACCATTACTCCTTGTTCTGTCATCTGGTACCACTGAGAACAGTCTAGATCCATCCTCTTTGGAACCCCCTTTCAGGTAGTTGAAAGCAGCTATCAAATCCCCCCTCATTCTTCTCTTCTGCAGCCTAAACAATCCCAGTTCCCTCAGCCTCTCCTCATAAGTCATGTAAGTTGGAAGTTTAGGGAGACCAACTCGGACGAGATGGTAGCTACCACCTTGTTTATGGTTTTCTTTACTGATGAACAGATTTGCAAGCATGAACGGACAGTGAAGTATATCTTTCAGCTGCCATGGAGTGTCTTGAAACCTAAAATCATTTTCAGGGATGCCAAAAATGTCTGTTGTCAAAACCTTGAGCGTTCAGTCCTGAAGCAGCTTTTCAGCTTCAGATACTAGGGAAATAAACTCTTCAGGCAGGTAGAGAACTGGATATACTGTGAAACTATTTCAGGGCCTGATCTTTACCATCTGCTGCACTATCCATTGAAATGGAAAGCAGCAGGGAGTCTCGTCTGTTGTTTTTTCTAATTTTTATTTTTAAACCTGTCCACTTTGTACACTGGGGAACAGCCAGAATATCTCCAACCCTTATCTTTGTCATTCTAGGGATCCTAAA